TGCTGAATGAATTTATGAACCTGAGCCACATTAGAGAGATAAAGGGATGGGAATAGATTGGTGGCTCTCCATTGACAGTGGTTTTCCTCTGATACTGTTGCTCTGTCAGGATATCTGGTAGCTCATGTCCTGGGATGCTGTTACGTATCTATGCTATGATGTTTAAGACAGCTGCCCACTCACAACAAAGAACCACCAGGCCCCAAATTCCAGTAATGCTTGGGTTGAGGAGCTTTGAACCAGAAGAACTCTTAGCTCCACCCCTGTCACTAGTGCAGTTTAATACTTTATCACTGCCAGAGTCGTTTCAGTTTAACCAACATTGACCAGGTGCTTTCTTTTCTTTTTGTGTTATAAGAACTTTTCTCTTTGATATATAGAAAGGAAGAAAACTTCCATCTGTGGAATCACCCTCATTCCAAATATTGTTCTGTGTGTCTTCTATTCCTAACAATAGACTGATTTAATAAGGAGCATTTTCATGCATTTGATTATGGGTGTATTAGAAAAAATATTCCTACCTTCTAGACATTTCTCCCTTTTCCTTATATTACTTCAATGATTAGATTTCAAGATGTTCAAGTAAAAGAGAAATTTTGAAAAGTCAAGCAGTATGTATGGCAATTATTATGATGGATGCTATTGGATTAAGTCATTCCTGATAATGGACTATGTTATCTTCATTTGCAATACGAGAGTGTGTATGAGATGCTGTGAAAACAAAGATACCTCTTATCTCGAAATCCTGTGTTTAAGTTTTTAAATAGGATTGTAGACCTGCTGAATATTTTATGTGTTTAGAAGATTCAAAAAAGGAATGAAGTAGAAAGAGAGTAATGCATAGGACATAGGTTTGGAGAGATGGAAAGTTTTGCTAGACTGGTCTTGAATTCACTAGTAGCCCAGGCTGGCCTCAAACTTGCCATCCTTCTGCCTCAGCATCCCAAAGGCTGAGGTTATAGACAACAACTACAACACCCAGTGAGATGGGAAGTCCTAATCTACTGTTAGGTAAACATAATGGTAAATAAAACCCACCCACGTATAGTTTTATGCTGAGTGTGCTTGTATGCACATTGCACATGTTTTTTTTCCCTCATGATTTGGATTGACCCTTTCTTCTTTTCCCTTTTGTTAAATATCTTTTCCTATTTGCATTCTTTCTTATTGATAAGTCATCAATCTTACTTCTTGCCACTATTTCCCTTTAAATAACTATAATTTTGTTTTGCTTTACCTTCAACTAAAAACACTAGGGGAAGAGAAAGAATTTTTTCAATATACACGTGTTTGTGTATGTCCACAATAACTGTTAAGCACACACACATGTATACTTATCAGTCTTTTTTAAGAGTCTTGGTACTTGCTACTTAAATTACTTTTTTGCTTTTTCACAGTGGGAAACTTGGGAATGCTAAAATTTAAATGGAGAGACTTCGCAAAATGACAGTAAAGATGCTTTCATAAGTCCTGTTTTTAGAGTTATTGTCTCTGCATTCTTTATGTATAGAATACACTGTATATTTTTTATAATCAGAAAACACTCTGGGACAGTCTTTGCAATAAAAGTTAAAGATATTACATTTTGAAATCTGTCTCTGGGAAGTGCTATGGGTCTGTGTGACATGATCTATATAAGAAGTATAATTTAGATGCAGAATATCAACCTTTATATTTAAATTCCTTGTTAATAATGGATTAAAAAGGACAAAACTTCAGTGTATTAAAAATCATATTACTTTAAAATGTAATCCTCCATTAACATGGACAAGATATATCCTATATGTAATGCACCTAAATCTATAAGCTCTGTGACATGAAGAAGTTTGTAATGTAATATAAAGCAGAACTTGTATGTACATAACATGCTCAGAACTCCAAAGCAGTAAATTCAAAGATATAAATGTACTTTTAGAATCAATCAGGTAGGAATTAGTGAGATTTGTATGCAGGTATTTAAGCTTCAAAATGTTACATCACAACTAGGTGTGGAGTGCACATCTATAATCCCAGCTACTCAGATGACAGATGTAGGAGGATCACAGTTCTACATCATCACAGGCAAAGTTAGGAGACTTTGTCTCAAAAGCCAAACAAGATCAAATAAAACACAAAGGTGGGGACATAACTCAAGTGGTGAGGTGCTTTCTCCAGCAAGCGTGAGGCTTGAGTTCAATCCCCAGTGCCAAGATTACAAAAACAAAAACAAACCAAACAGACAAAAAGACTAAGTCGCATCACAAAATCAAAACCATGGTGTATTCCTAGTTGTTCTAACAAAGACAGGGCAATTCCTTAAGTGAGCACTGAAGGGCATAACAGTTGAAAAGATCACGAGCTACTTTTGTAGAGAAGGCCCTGCCTGCTTGCAGTTAAGTCATGATCAACATAAATCGTTAAACAATCTCCCACCCAATAGAAAATTTCCACGATTTTGTGGATGGAATAATTCTTATACTCAAAGAATCTTTAGCCATTTTAAAATCCAGTCAGTTTTAACACCTTTTTTACTTTCAAAATGACACCTGTCAGGGTCCTCTGTTCTTTCTAAACAGTCTTTTCTTGCTAGACACACCCAGCAACCATTTTTAGTTTATGATTTTCATAGCAGACTAAGCACAAGAGAGCTTGTGAATTCTGTCATTTTTCTAGTTTTAATTGGAAATTCATTGCATAAATCCTCTCTCACCTCCAGTTACCCAAATTTATTAGGAATTGTATTAACTTCCATGAACTTCATTGGACCTAGTCCAGTTGTGACAGTGGAACACAGAGAGCTTTCTCAGCCACACACTGGGGCTCTGGCCACTTGCTTTTCTCTGTCCCTTCCATTTTCCTCTTTTCTGTCTCTGGCCCTCATCTGGAGTTCGTCATACAATTTACTCTGATCTATTGTGTACTCTTCCAGAGTTTTTATGACCAATTAGATTTTTGAAACCCAAATGCTTTCTCTCTCAATCTATTACTTCATTATGGGTTCCCAAAATCTACTTTGAAACCCAAAAAATAAAACCAAAACAAAAATAAACTCATTCCTTTTTTGTTTATGATTCTTCTTTAACATTCGCACCCTGATGCATTAAGATGGAGTTAATCCTTACTTGCCTTGGTTGGGGGGAGTAAAGAGCACAGAACTATGGGGAAGAAACAAAGTAAAAATACAATTTCCTCACCTGTGTTTTTGGCTATGTTGAGCAGCACCGTGGTTCATGACACGTGGTGTTGCCACTTCTTTCCACACTGACTTCCTTCTCTCTCCATTGAGATTCAACCATCGCCATTTGCTAGGCCCTGAAATAGGCCTCAATGATTCCTAGGTCATAAAGCAGACAGTACCCCTGTTCCCGTGGAGCTTGGATTATAGTGAGTTCTAAATGTTCTAGACCTTGGTCTTTGCCTCTTTCCTCTGACTCTTCACCTTTTCTGCACCCTGCACTCTCCTTACTTCCTCACTCCAAACTCGTCACTTCACAGCCAGGTTTATAATCCAATGGATTTCTACTGCAAAGACTGGTGACATGCCTAGTTTTTTAAAGAATCCAATCCTGGCTGCTAGTTACTGTAGCCCTTGACTTTCATGGTCCTGGAAAAGAAAGAAACAGGATGATAGAATTCAGTGGAATGAGACAGCTCTGTAATTTGGGGAAAAGTTGTCCTCAGCAAACTTCAGTTTCATCCTGGAAAAATGGGGGTAGTAGTCACCATTTCTAATGGGACTCATACTAATATCCACACATGATTTTTAAAAGAGTACTGTGAAGTTTTTATAAAGTTCCCATTTTCAGCTGCCTTGAAGTATAATTAACAAGTTAAAAAGTGTGTATTTTAAGGTGTACAATGTGTTGTGCAGTGATTACCATAATAAAATTAATCACCACACATGATTGCTATGTGTGTATGTGTGTGTATATGAGTGTATGTGCGTACATGTGTGTATGTGTGTATATGTGTGTATGTATGTGTGTATGAGTGTGTGTGTACATGTGTGCATGTGTGTGTGCATGTGTGTATATGAGTGTGTGTGTGTGTGTGTAGCAGAAGGATGGACACTTCAGATCTCTCCTCTTAGCAAATTTCAGCTATGAACAATTCAGTGTAATCAGGTATAACCACTGTGCCGTACATTAGATTCCTGGAATTTGGGTGTGGTGACATGTGCCTGTAATTCCAGCTACACGGGCAGGAGGTGCAGGTAAGAGGACTGGTCCAAGGCTAGTCTGGACAAGAAGAGTGAGGCCCTATCTGAAAAATAGCTAAATAACTAAAGCAAAGAGGGGATCAAGTGGTAGAGCACTGGAAGTCATGATGCCCTGAGTCCAAACTCCAGTGCTCCAACCAACAAACATAAAAGCTCTTTTTTTTCTTATTTTACTTCTTTTCTGAAATTTAAATTGTTCTTCTTCCCTACACATGTCCATATGGTCAGTGTGTGGCAGGAACTAAACTGTGTGTAGAAAAGCCAGAAGTTAGCGTTTAGCCCTCTCCCACCCATGTGATTCTGAAACATTTTTCTCTTTCTTTTCCCGGAGTACCTGCACCACCATCGCACAGATGCACAACATCTGCTCTGTGACACTTGCTGTCAGACAACCATATACTTTAAGCACTAAATTATCCAAAGTCTATCTTGAAAAATGTCTTACAACTATTTAAAACTACTTGAATAATTAAGCATATGCTTTTTTTAATGCTTTATAAGTTCAAATTTTTTGGTTCACATCAGTATTCAAAATAGCTAAGTGTTACTTTAAATATGTCTATTTTAAAAATACATATTTATTCTTCAAAATTAGGGTTTATAAAGAAGAAATTTTTCCACATGTCCAAAATTAAGAGACCTAATTTATTGGATTGACCCTAATGCTATGTGGATACTGGAATCTTTAATTTCTTAGTAATTTGGGTGGCTTGTGATGGTATCCTGTAAAATACTGATATATCTTTGGATAAAGAAGTCATTCTTTAAGAATACGTTATAATGTGAGTCACTTTATTAACAGGGTGCTGCTGTACATCAAAACTGCACCAGAAATGCTACGATCCTGATTTGAAAGTGTTTTAAAATCTCAGACTGCAAAAGAAAGCTGAAAATAAGTCTTTAAACAAGTGTTGCATTACCAAAGAGGTGGGAAAATGCAAGAGAGGATGGAGTTAAAGGTGCCAGTAATTTCACCCACTGGCTGTCTGAGTTTGCAAAGTTGTCTTGTACTAAGTCAGACAACTGCATGTCATGTGAAGAGGGGACACTGTGAGTGAAGAGAAAGTGGGTTTTTTTTTTTTAACCAATACACAGAAAAGAAGGTGGCTTTAAAATGCTAGGACTCGGGGCTGGGTATGTATCTCTTGGTGTTGCAACAGAAACAGCTTTTGAAGTTAAACAGTTTGACTTGATGGCTGAGTAGAAAATGGCTTTTTCTAGAGTGGTGAATGCATCAGACATGGTTGTAACATTAATTTTTCTGATGTCTCTGTCAATTAAGTAGAGCTAAATCAATTTATTCACTGCATATTTGTCTGCTAATTTTTCTCTAATGAACAAAGATATTATTTGCTTCATAAGTTTTTGTCTTCATGAAGTTTTGCAGGATATGGTGCCATAATCAACCAACACAATTAATTTATTTGAAAAAATTAAACCCTTGAGAAAAGCTTAAATTCTTGGAAAATTTTGTTCTGAGTATTTTTATGTTGAAGAAGATAATTCTCAGGATAGTTAAAAGTGGTTTAATGTATCTTGCCAGAAATAAAAGTGGTTTAATTTATCTCACCACTAGAAACATGTAATTTTTATGATCTCTGTAATTCGTTCAAAACCTAAAACATTGGAAGACCCTATATTGAATACTGAAGCAGTGTAGAATGATATTCCTTTGCAAAAGTTAATTAAAGTATATTAGTATATATAGTAAGATTAAGATAATTCATTAGAAATGTAGGGACTGATCAGACAAGATACACATTTTATTAATGTGCTTTAAAAAGTTTCAAACAGAGGTCACACACTCTGGCCTGTGGGTAAAATCTGGTCCTTCAATGTTTTTATAAATAAAGTTTTATTGGAAAACACACGGCCCTTTATTTATGTATTGTCTAAGGCTGCTTTTGCCCTATCATGGCAGGGTTAAATAATTGTAACAGGTACCATGTTTACTAATTGCCCTTTAGAGAAAATGTTTGCCAAGTCTTACCCTCCAGCAATAACGAGTTTGAGCTTTGCTGGTTCCTGTAGGTTTTGTGGGTTTCCATGGTGGCTCTGAGTCCAGACAGCAGGCATTATGAAAGTCAAAGTGAGACCTCCTGGGAGAGCCCGGCACCACACTTGTCACAGTGGATGTTGAGTCCTCAGGCTGAGCCTTGGTGCTGTTCACCTGTCCAGGTAGCTCAATGTTTGAATTATCATCTGAATGTTTCAACTGAAATAAACCTGACGAGAGAGAGAAATTACTCTATAAAATTCCACAAATGCCTGCAAAATAATCCACACCAGCTATATGCCTACGGATGGGGTACAAACCATTAGACATCACAGATCTGCCACCATACCACGTCACAGATATGATGTTTAAACACCAGTCACCTACTTGAGTTTAACAAGTGGGCCAGTTTTTGAAATTATTGCAGTGGTTTGAAATACAGTTTCATATAGATCTCCATTGGGATGATGCCTAGCCTTAGTGTAATTTGGTCTTGAGTTTTTCTAGCAATATATTACGTCATCATAGATACAAAGTCAGAACCCAAGGATGTGAACACACTGCAGTTCTCGGTATTGGGCAGTCAACATTATCAAGTTTAAAGTATTGCCGAGATAACTCATAAAACCCTCTTTTCTGTGAAACTCAAGGGGAAAATACTAAAAACCTAATTGGATAGGGAACACGCATGTTCTCCCTGCTGCAGCAAATATTATAAAACAATACACAGCGTGCAGCGATGACAGAACCTGTGTTCCTTTGGTAATGAATGCTATTAGAAAATGCTTAGAAAACACCTCCAAAAAATAAGTAATGAGGAAATTGCACCGAATCAGAGTTTGATTATTTGGTCGGATCAAAGTATAGACTTGACTGAACACCTCAGTTCATAGCTTCTGTGTTCTAAATATGAAATATATTTTAAAATAACATTTCTGAGTTTTAAGGGAGAACAGAAATTTATTCTATAAAGTTTGCTCACTTCTTAAATAAAATCACCATTTGTAAAGGACACTGTGGAGGCAGGAGAGCAATGGAGTCTCTTTTCTAAAAGATTGGGGTGTGGGGTCGCAGGTGCCTCAGTCTTCAGTGATAACCCGCTGTGACAAAGAAGAATTGTACACGCACACACACACACGACTCTAGATAACAAGATGGAGAAGGGCCATGAACACCTTTTGGTCGTTTGAAGATCCTCAGGTTATCTCACGGTAAAAGCATTTCGAAAATGAACAAATTTGAAAATGCACTGGGAATATCTGGTCATGAAAAACTACAAATGAGGTTCTTGGTTTAAATATGGACAATTGTAAAGTTAGAAGTTTTACCATCCTGGTGTCATTTGAAAGCAAAAAGGAGGAGAAACAAAAACAGAAATTTCTGTTAAACCACAAACAAACAAAAACCAACTGTTGACAAGGAGGACTCCAAGCCACAGTGTAAGTGGAGAGACTTTAAAAACAGTAGAGAGGAAGAATATGAGTTTTGGGGAGTAAATAACGAACATCCTCCAGTGATGACAGGAACCTGGACGTGACATGCCTTCAACGGGTGCAGGGTTGGCAGCAGAAGTTCCCTAACCTGTGAGAGGCAGAGATGACGTATCTATACATTTTTATTAGTGTATATTAATTATACAAGGGGTCTCATTGTGATAGTTCCATAATGCGTGTGAAGTACTTTGATCAAATTCACACCCTGTTGTTCTTTCTCATCCTCTTCCCCCCATTCAAAAACAATTTAAATAGGTTTCTTAATTCCATTTACATACTGCATGTGAAGTTCTTGCAGCCTATTCACCTTCTTCATTCTGTCCTTTCCCCTTCCTCCTCCCACTGGTTCCTACCATCGAACAGTCCCTCTTTTACACTCATTCTGCTTTTTTTTTCTTTTTGTCGTTTTGTTTTTTAAGTTCCACATATAAGAGAAAGAATGTGATTATTTGTCTGTCTCGGTCTTGCTTATCTCGCTTAACATGATGATCTCCAGTTCCATCATTTTCCTGCAGATGACATAATTTCACTGATGAAATTAAGGCTGAATAATAGGTTATTAATTGAATTGCAGAGAAAATCATGAGTAGTGTGCTCTTTCCCTGTGGCAGCCTGAACACAGACAACTTACTATGTAGAACACTGTACAGCTGTCAGCCTTCATTATTTGTGGAGAATCAAAGACAAAATCAATCCATACTCCAAATCTTGGAGTGCAAAGACAATCCCAGGTAGTAAGTGTCCTTTTATATATGAACCTGTTGCAAAAACATGTGGTCCAGCACAGATTCATTTGCTATAGAAATAAGTGAATTAAATGAGCTAGAGACTTCCAGATTAGATAACAAAATTAGTTATTTAACTTAAGGCTTATCAAACAATGTTTTAATCTCATTTGGGAATGGCAAAGTAATTTGGGTACCACAATCAAAAAGAAAGAAGCTGTTATTATCTTTACAATGGGCAAAAAAAAAAATCCTTAAGTAAGGCTAATAAGGATAAAATTTAATATTAAGGCTTATGGAAAATATTTAAAGGAAAATAACACCAACTATAACATCAAGAGTCTGTAGCAAAAACAAGAGACAGGATGAAAAATTAGTGAAAATATGTAGTTAGTATGGCAATTTATTTGTTCATTTTTCAGTCAGTGATAGATGCAGTGAAAAGCCTAGCAAAGGCAGATTGGCTTATCTAAAGTTAATGTCCTAAATATATTTCAGACTGTATCCCACAAGTAAAACACAAAACCAGCACAGAAAACACACTTTTAATATCTGTAGAACTCTCATAAAAACTGGCTATATATTAGGTCAAAAAAGAAAACCCATTAATTGTCAAGGCAGAAATGATACTGACAAATTTCTTTGATCCCAAAAATTTTAAATTATTAACAAACTGAGGAAAAACAAAAAGTCTGTGACATCAGTAATGGGAAATTCTGCTTTTTAATAAATCTTTGGTCAAAGAGGAAATTCAAAATAAAATTTCCACCATCTTCTTCATTTTAATCCAGCTTTGCTGAAGTATAATTGACAATTAAGATTATTCATATTTAAGGTGCAAACTTCACTGGTTTCACGTTTAGTTATTATGAAGTGATACCGGTTAACATGTCTGTTACTTGCATGGTACCATACTCATTTCTTTTTCATGGTAAGAACACTTAGGATCCACTCGTGTACAGGATCCGTTGCTGCACACCAGATCTCCAGAGCTAATCTGTCTTGAGTAACTGAAATTTTACACCTTTGATCAGTGTTGTTCATTACCATCCCCTCCCCAGGTTCTGGAAATATTTTATTTTCTGCTTCTTTAAGTTTGACTATGTAGATTCCAAGAGTCCACATGTAAGTGATGTCATATAATGGCTGGTGCTCTGTGTTTGGCTTATTTTATTTGCTACAAATGGCAGGCTTTCTTTGCTCTTCAGGTGGATTAATTTTCCATTTCAAGGGTGTTTACCACACTTTATTCATCCACCTGTCGATAGACATCTAAGTCACTTCCATTATTTTAGGTATTGTGAATAATTCTCAATAAACATAGAAATGTAGATATATTTTCAAGATACTGACTTAATTTGCTTTGAATATTTGTCAAGAGTGGGATGTTGGATCATATGGTGTTAATACTTTGAATTTGGGGGGACCCTCCATATTGTTTTACATATTAGGTGAACCAGTTTATAATCTCAACATCTGTGCAAACGGCTATTCTTTTCTTCATATTCCCATCAACACTTTTAGTTTTTGCATTTTAATTAGTTTTATTAAATTTAACTGTTCTACAAACGTAAAAACTATTCTTGGTATTGGGAGATTATGCAATGTTATGACACATCATACTATGTTTAAATCAGTTAAAGCATTCTATCTCCTCAAATATTTGTTATTTATTTGTGGTAAAAACTGTCAGATTCCTGTCTTCTAGCATTTTGAAATGTGCAGGATATTATTGTTACCTGTAGTCACCCTACTGGGTGACCACAACTGTTCCTATCTAACTGTGAGCTTTTCCCCATCCCTCCCTCCTTCCTACTTTCTTCGGCCTCTGTAATTCACCCTGTGTCCTCTGATTCTACAGGTCTAACCTTTTGTATTCTAAACATATGAGACATTGTGCCACGCCTGTCTTTCTGTTCATGGCTCATTCATGCCACAAATGACAGGATTTCATTGTTTTTTAAGGGAGAATGGCATGCTATTGTTTATATATATCATTTTTTAATCCAATTTTCATAAATGGACACATCCATTTTAAATTTTGTGGCCTATAATATTTTGGTGTTGTATTAAAACATATCATTGGTTAAGCCAAAATACATTTTTTTCTGTTTATCTTTTTCCAGGTAGTTTTACAGGTTCAGGCCTTTTGTCTATTTCGAGTTGATTTTTGTAGATAGCATGAGATAAGGGCCCAATTTAATTCTTCTGCCTGTCGAGATCCAGTTTTCCCAGCACCTTTTATTATTTATTTATTTATTTTTTGTAGGTTATCTTTTTTTTTCTTTTATTATTCATATGTGCAAACAAGGCTTGGGTCATTTCTCCCCCCTGTCCCCACCCCCTCCCTTACCACCCACTCCACCCCCTCCTCTCCCCCTCACCCCCTCGATACCCAGCAGAAACTATTTTGCCCTTATTTCTAATTTTGTTGTAGAGAGAGTATAAGCCATAATAGGAAGGAACAAGGGTTTTTGCTGGTTGAGATAAGGATAGCTATACAGGGAGTTGACTCACATTGATTTCCTGTGCGTGGGTGTTACCTTCTAGGTTAATTCTTTTTAATCTAACCTTTTCTCTAGTTCCTGGTCCCCTTTTCCTATTGGCCTCAGTTGCTTTTAAGGTATCTGCTTTAGTTTCTCTGCGTTAAGGGCAACAAATGCTAGCTAATTTTTTAGGTGTCTTACCTATCCTCACCCCTCCCTTGTGTGCTCTCGCTTTTAT